CTGCCTTTGGATGTTTTAATGCAAGAAATGCAAAAACAGGTGAGAATTTCCCTTCCCCCTGTCTTACACTAGCACAACTTACCTGTCCATACTAAGCTATAAGTTTGTATCTACAGAGAAAAGATGCAAACATGCAGACGCCTCATCTGGCTAGTGTCTCTGCAGCTGCCATGTTGCAGCAGGGTTCAGTTCCAACAGTAATGAAAACACCTTGTGCTGTTTTAATGAAAGAAAACCAAGCAACTAACAACATTTTGCAGGCAACATGTTATTTTTATATATTTCTATTATTGTTATAAAATTTGATTTAGTTATTTCCTGTTAGGATAATGTGTTAGTTAAATGTATACATGTTTAAATGTAAATGTGAATAAAAAATAGAAAAATGTAATAAATTAAATTAGAAACACAAAAGTGATGCTTGAAATAAATTTACTTAATCTTTCAAAGCAGTATTTGTTGTAATTGTCTCCTTCTATAACCCAATTCTGTGTTAATTTCCCAAAAGTATAAGTACCACAGTGTAAACATATTGTAACTTAAGTTAAACTACACAATTATTAGCATCAAAACATATTTAAAGTACCAAAAGTAAATGTGCTTATTATGGAGAATAATATATCATTTATTATACTGTTTTATTATCATTATTGGAGCATTAAGGTGTAAATTAGCTTGATAATATTGACTTTTATTCTACTGAGTAGATGGATTTATAAAAATCTTCTACGGTTTCTTCATTTATCAGCTGATGATATTTTGCTTTAACTAAGTAACTGCAGTATCAGATAAATGTAGTGTTGTAAATATATTTCAGGAGAGGAGTAGTAGTACAGTAGTAACTTACTCATGCTTGACCTGTAGTACACATATTGTAAACCTGCTAAACATCGGTGTGAGTTTGGAGTAAAGAAATGTTACAGGTAAACCCTCCCCCTCTCCCATTGCATGCTGGGAAATAACACTGTTGTCCCCTGCTGACCTCACAATTTGAGGTTTTATAACCAAGATTTCAGAATAAACTTAGTTATAATTAAACGTCTCTTAAAGGTTAAACATTTGTAAACATCTGAGCTTCAAAAAACCAACCTTTATTTAAACCCGTGTAAACGGTCTCAAGCTTGTTGAGTTGTTTGTTTGTTGAGTTCAGGATCAGTTTGAATGTTTAAAAAGCAGGCACATGGCTTGTTAAACTTGATTTAAACATGAATAGACTGACCATATGTTTGTCTGCAGAGCTTCCTGAAGGCACAGTTTCCTCTGAGCAGACAGGGCTTCCTCTTCACAGGCAGAAACTCCATTGAGAAAAGCTCGGTTTGAAAGTGTTGATTCTGTATAAACTGTTTTCTTCGGTTCAGAACCGCTTTCAATCTGTAAAGACGTCGGTCAACAGAAGCACAGGGTGTGTCAGCAGAGTCTATCTGAAGAAACCACAACACACCGGAGCCTTCAAAATAAAAACCCTACCTGCGGTCAGAAAATGGAACTTCCACCCGAAGAAACAAAATGTTTTTTATCAGGAAGTTTGAATGTAAAAACTGAAATAAATAAAACCAGACTCCAGCTGTGTCTGATTTTTTTACTGATAAACGTGACGGTACTGCTTAGTTTTCAGTTTTAATATAAAACTCTTGTTATATAAAGTTAAACAGGTTTGATAGATGACTGTGGAGTCATAAGAAGCATTGTCTTGTTTAAATATCACTCAAATAAAATAGATGAACAGAACCTTTATTAAAACTACAAAAACAGTCTGAAGTTACAAACCAGGTTTATAAAGAAATTGTAACGATGTTATTGTATTTGAACAAAATATATTAATTCAACTTATATTCATTTTCTTGTGTACCAGAGTCAAATTCCTCGTGTCCAACACACCTGGCCAATAAAGCTGATTCTGATTTTAAATTTTGTTAAACTTTTTTTTTTATCTTTTAGTTTAAGTCAGCAGGAGTTTTCCCTGGAGGTCATCTAACACCTCAGCTGGACTCACCTGTCAGGTGTGATTTAATTGTGCTAGATCATGTGATCATTGATGTGTGACCACATGTGTGATCAGTCAGGAAGTGATCAGTGACATCAGTTCAATTTAAACCTCATCAGACTCTTTAACATATAATGTTGATGGTTTTATTTTGAAAGCACACTTGTAATGCTTCCTTTGCACAGGTGTGAGTTTGGTATGTGGTGTCGTCTGTCTGTCAGACTGGTTCAACCTGAAAAAAAAACCGCTGTAGGATCATGTGACTGAAGAACAGTCCGATCAATAACCACCAGACGGATCAGATTGCTGACAGTTCAATAATCAGTCAATACTGAGTGTGGAGTGTTTCTATGTAAAACATATTTTACATATTTGTACAAAAAATAAGATGCTCACTGGCCTGTGAAATGACAATCACATGAGAACTGTTTTAAAGGGGTCAGTTCACCTTAAAGCAACAGTCACGTTTAACTTCATGTTTCTTGGTTAAGGTTAAATGACTAAATCCTGAGAAACACCTGAAGTGAACATGGAAGGTTCGTCAGTGTGGGGTGGACATCTTCCCCAGGTGCTGTTCAGTCACTGTCAAGCTGCAAATCCAAACCAAAGACACCTTATGCTGTACCACTGTTAACAAACTGCTGTAATAAAACCAGTGATAAAATGATCACAGATAATTCAACTCCTCTGTGACACAGTCTGAACATCATCACCGTCATGAAGGAGGATTCACTGCAGCACTGTTGGATCGGACTGATGTAGTTTGTCACAAGGGTTCCTAATAAACTGACTACTGAATGTATAGTTACTAGAATACAAGCTTTCTGTTTTCTTATAGAGGACAAAAGACTTATTCAAATTCCTTAAGAAAACAGCTCCTGGATGCTTAACTAGTTCTAACCTGAGCTCATCAGTCAACTTGTCACCATTAACTTGGATTATTTCCTCCATGGGTAAAATACATCTTAATTTCCTTTGAGAAGCCATTTGCATTTGGTTATTACGTTTTGTTTTGACTGTTTCTGAACCACTGTGGAAATAGGTTTTAAACTTCACTGTGTTTTTAACCTCAACAGTTTAATTGTGCTTTCATCTAGTCTGCTGCTGGGACTTCAATCACCAAACCAGGAAGATGAGTGCAGATGAATTTCATGCTTTTATTGTGAAACTTTGTGTAAAACTTAAAACTAATGTTTTTTTATTCTGATCATCAAATATTTAATGATCACAAAACACATTTTACAAAATAAAATGTTGAAAAATTAACAAACACAGACAGACAAGCAAGTAGTTCAACAATAATTTTTTTGTTTTGTTTTAAAGTTTCAATTCCTAAAATATAAATGTTTTAAAAAAAGTTGATCAGCAGACAGTAAG